GATGACCTTGGTGGTCTTGGTGGCCCTGGTGACACTGGTGACCCTGATGGCACTGGTGGTCCTGGTGACCCCGATGGCCCTGGTGACCCTGATGGCACTGGTGACCCTGGTGACTCCGGTGGCCCCGGTGACACCGGTGGCCCCAGTGGCCCTGGTGGCCCTGGTGGTCCTGGTGACCTTGGTGGTCCTGGTGACCTTGGTGGTCCTGGTGATCCCAATGGCCCTGGTGGCCCTGGTGGCCCCGATGGCACTGGTGACACCAGTGGTCCTGGTGACCCCGATGGCCCTGGTGACCCCAATGGCCCTGGTGGCCCTGGTGGCCCCGATGACCTTGGTGGTCCTGATGGCCCTGGTGGCCCTGGTGGCCCTGGTGACCCCGGTGACCCCGGTGGTCCTGGTGACCCCGATGGCCCTGGTGACCCCAATGGCCCTGGTGGCCCTGGTGGCCCCGATGACCTTGGTGGTCCTGATGGCCCTGGTGGCCCTGGTGGCCCTGGTGACCCCAGTGACCCCGATGGTCCTGGTGACCCCGATGGCCCTGGTGACCCTGATGGCACTGGTGACCCTGGTGACTCCGGTGGCCCCGGTGACACCGGTGGCCCCAGTGGCCCTGGTGGCCCTGGTGGACCTGGTGACCTTGGTGGCCCTGGTGACCCCAATGGCCCTGGTGACCCCAATGGCCCTGGTGACCCTGATGGCACTGGTGGTCCTGGTGACGCTGGTGGCCCTGGTGACCCCGATGGCCCTGGTGACCCTGATGGCACTGGTGACCTTGGTGGCCCTGGTGTCCTGGTAACCTTGGTGGTCTTGGTGACCCTGATGGCCCTGATGACCTTGGTGGTCTTGATGGCCCTGGTGGCCCTGGTGACACTGGTGGTCCTGGTGGCCCTGGTGGCCCTGATGACCTTGGTGGCACTGGTGGCCCTGGTGACACGGGTGTCCCCCGGGGGTGCCAGTTCGACGTGGACAAGGAGGCGGGGGAGCGGCAGATCTACCACCGGTACTGCCTGGAGCGGGCGGCCGCCCACTGCGCCCACGTCCTCACCACCGTGTCACACGTCACCGCTGCCGAGGCCGAGCACCTCCTCAAGCGCAAGCCCGGTGGGTGACCCATGGGGGGACACCCCGAGATCCCGGGGGGGGACCCCAATATCCTGGGGGGGACCCCAAAATCATGGGGAGGACCCCAACATGCCCAGAGAGGGAACCTTGGTTCACCCAAGAGGGACCCAACGTCACTAAGAGGACACCAAGACACCCGTGGGGACACCAAGGGGGACACTGAGACCCTGGAGGGGACCTCGAGATCAGGTGGGGACCCCAATCTCCTGGGGGGGACCCCAAGAACTGGGGGGACACCCCAAGATCCCAGGGGGAACCCCAAGAGTCCCAGAGGGGTAACCTTGGTTCACCCAAGAGGGACCCAACGTCACTAAGAGGACACCAAGACACCCGTGGGGACACCAAGGGGGACACTGAGACCCTGGAGGGGACCTCGAGATCAGGTGGGGACCCCAATCTCCTGGGGGGGACCCCAAGAACTGGGGGGACACCCCAAGATCCCAGGGGGAACCCCAAGAGTCCCAGAGGGGTAACCTTGGTTCACCCAAGAGGGACCCAACGTCACTAGGAGGACACCAAGACACCCATGGGGACACCAAGGA